CCAGCTTTCTCGCCGCTCTCTTGCTGCAAGTGTGGTAACGTCCCAAGTGTAGCAAATCCCATTGTTGAACTTCTTTTATGGCTAAAAGGTTTATCCTCATATTCAACTGATATCAACCATCCTGGAGGTTAATCCCAATATGTGTAGTCTTGCTTCTTGGTCCTCTTCTTTTTGACAGCCCCTCAGTGACTGTCATATGTTTTCAGTCATCAGTGCTTCTTTTCTTTGTATTTTCTGGGCTGTTAAGTTTCACCATATAAATGCTGATTTTTTTTTTGGTGGGGGAGGGGGAGGGAGGAAGGAATGCTGTTATCCCATGCATATGTACCTCATAACTTCCTAAACCAGAGAATGTATATATTGAAGTGTGTTTATGACCTGGGAACCATATACTACAATACATTTTCATGCCCACACCATGAAAAGGGAACCCATATACAGAAATAAACTTCACAAGTGGATATTTGGATGTGCATCTCCATCTGCCCCATGAAAATTGAGCCCCATAGAACTGTCTGGATACTTCTTTTTGGTGTAGACACATATATCATGTCTGGGCAGTGTGGCAGTACATACTTTGATTTTCTCAGGAGATGCATGCTTTCGTCTTCTGCGCTGATGCACACTGCTATAGGAGTCATAATCCTAGACTGTGGGTTTAGTTTTACTGCCTCAGGATTCTTTTGACTCATAAGGTTCTCTTCTTGGAATGTGCCACTCTGATGTCATGTCAGGAAGATCTATTTTCAGTCCTCTGACTGTTTTAGAGCAACAGAATCATGTTTCACTTTACTGGAAATTTTGCAAAACTTCCCAGCCCTGTCACTCCCATCCAAGAAAGTAACAGTTTGGACTTTCCTCAAAGTTCCTCAAAGCAACTTGCTGGACATTACTTTTAGAATAATGTATTACTTTTTAGTTAACATTTATTTTTAAAAAACACACTTAAAAAGAGAAAAATGTCCCCAAAGTACACTTCTAAAATATTTGAAAAGCAATGAGTACCCTTGCCACCTAAAACCCAACATTATTACTAGTAGTTAAATTATTTTGCAAAAGGACAAATATTATTTCCTCATTTCTCTCCTGCCCATAACAGTAATGATTTGCAATGCCTTCCATCCTCCCTTCCCATGCACACTGCACAATTATAGCACTTTAACACTACTTTAACTGCCATGGTTACTTCTTGTAGAATCCTGGGATTTGTAGTTTGGTGAGGCTTTAGAGATCTCTGGCTGAGAATTCTAAACACCTCCTCACCAAATTGTATATCCCAGGATTCCCTAGGAGGTACATATGGCAGTTAAACTGGAATAAAGTGCTAGCTAATCCCTCCCAATATATGCAGAAAGAGCCATACAGACACTGTTGCTTTTGAAGAACGGTGCTGACACCAAGTGGCGATTAGGATACTTTGCAATATGTACATTTTTTCAAAATATTCTGTAAAAGAACCAATTACTCTGCATATAAGGAAACATATTCAGGGGTAGTCATGCTGGCCATACAATAAAATAAACCAAAATCCACAAAAGACCGATACCTTTATTGGCCAACCAAAATGCACAACACACATCATGCAAGAAGTTCCACTGGCTTCTTCCTAAGGCAAAAAATGTTCAAAATCATACAGTAAGAAAAAAAAAAAATCAAGAGGGAAGTGAGGATGGGGACTTAACTTTTTGAGGCTTCTATCTCCAATAAAGATAAAACTTTTTTTGGACTATAATTGGCTGAGTTTTACCTATACAAGTTTTTCCAGATGTAGTAGTATAGAGACTTTTTGAGAAATTACATATTTTCTGCCTCAGAAAGGGGCCTGTGGCTTCACAAGAGGCAGAGGACTTGTCTATGTGATTAAAATACTCCTCATTCCAGTAAAATAGAATGCAATCTGGCTACATGAGATTCACAGGAGATTGCCCCCCCCCCCCCCGCTCTGCAGTTTTACCAGAAAATCCACTGAAATCTGCAGAAATACACATGATCAAGAGGGGAGTGCCTCTGCCTGCATTCCTCTAGACCAACTTAACTACAGTAGAAACAACACCAAGTTCAAAACATAGGCCTGTGACTCCAATACCATCCACCCCCCCACTCCCCTTATGATCTTTAAATATATTTTGCCTGATGTAGACACCAATGGTGCTTTGAAATCTTGCATAATGTGTTTTGTGTATTTTTGTATCACTCATTTGTGGATCGTGGGTGTTGCTTTATTCTGTATACAAGGCATCTCTGGTTGGATCAGAATTAAGGGTTGCCTTAGGGCTGGCCCACCATTTGGAAGGGTGAGGCAGAACCTCAGATAGAATATTTTGGGTACCATGAAGGGTCATTG